TATATAAAGATCCCTGTTTGACCAACAAAGATAAGCTTTGATTCCAGTTTTCAAGCTGCTACTGTTTTGAAATGATGCATCCCTAACAAAACTGGTTCAAAAGTAATGGTACTAATTGTAGACGTGAGATAGTGTTCTTACCAAATGGAGAGTGTGCGGATCGACAATATGGGATTCAAGCTGGTAGATGTTTCCACGTACTGACGAAAGCAGTAGGAATAAGCGAGTATGGAACTGTGGTGATGCTGTTCCATGCATCAAGCGTGGGGTCATAGCAGTCCAGAGTTTTACACCGCTGCGTGCCAAAGTATCCGCCCACGACGTACAGTTTGTTTCCCGATGCTACAGCCTGGCAGCTCATCCTTTTGGCAGTCACATCACCCACTTTAGTCCACTGGTAGTTCTCACAGCTGAACTTATAGGCAGAGCATGCTGAGAACTCTGTGTCACCACCCATGACAAAGATCTGATTTCCCAGAACAGCAGCAGCTGTGTAACGCCACGGTTGGGGGCAAGATGCTGGTACAGTCCATCGGTTCTCCTGTGGATCGTAGCACTGCACCTTGGGGAGTTTGTCATGGGTGACACTAGTGCCTCCAAAGGCAAACAGCTTGAGCTTTACACTAACCACTGCTGCATTGCTTACACCCTCTCTTAGAGGTGCCACCATGGTCCACTTGTTGGCCACCGGGTCAAACTGCTCCACCTGTTTGAGTGAGACTGACGGAGAGGCTGGAAGACAGCCAGTAGCTGCAGTGTGTCCTCCTACAGCATACAGGCAGTGTTTTAGCTCAGCAGAGCCATGACCAAACCTGGCAATGAGCATGGGCGCTGCCTTTGACCACTCCTCATGAACGGTATCGTAGACCCAGACATCTTTGGACACACCATTCTCTGATCCTCTCCCACCGGTGATGTAGACTTTACAACCAATGGCACAGGCACTGAACTCCTTCCTAGGACTAGGGATGTCAGCTTTTGGGATTATCTCTTTGGCCTTTTGATCCACCAGGTACAACTTATCACACATGAAAGTCTGCCCGCCGAGAAGAAAGAGAGCATGGCTGGTCTTTCTTGGACGGGCACAGGGACTATTGACAACACCATCATTCTGGAGGATTTTCAGCTTACAGCGGATAGCTTCATCTACCAGTTCCTTGCTCTTTGCCTGGGCATTGATCAGCTCTTCTGTTGAAACATTCTCCATTAAGAAGATGGCGGGTACCAGAGCAAGACGGACTGTTCTCAGGAGCTCTGGAAGATGGCAGTGCCTCCTTTCTAAGTCATAGTTGATCCAATTAAGAGCAGCTTCATAGACTAATCTCTCATCTTCTGTCTCCAGCTCCTCATGTGATAAAAGCTGCACCACCATATCTTTGGGCAATTGGAGGAAGTCCTCGGTCTTGCAAATGGCAGGGAAGTTGCTTAGACACATGCCCCAGGAGAGTTCTGACAGCTTTGTACACTGGTGGGCGTCAGACAGCAACAGCATACCGAGACAGTTGGATGGGTGAAGATTCCTCTCCAAGAATTCAGCACAGGCATCGCGGATGTCCTGAAACTCCAGCATGTCCCCAGCCTCCAGCAGTGATTCTGCATTCTCCTCGTTGATAACTACTCGTGATGAGTATGCATAATCGAGCAGGAGCTCTAAAACCTCTGGATGGATAGAGTCTCGGAAGTCCACCTCACTGGCCTGGCTCTCCCTCAGCCCACCGCTGAACATGGCCTCGAAGTAGCGGCTGCATGCCGCCAGCACGGCCCGATGGCAGGGAAAAGAACGACTGCCAGCGTGAAGGAGGACGTCTGTAAAAAGCCTCTGCTGCCGTAGGGCGTTGAGGTGCATGAGGACACTGTCAGCATAAGAGGACTTGTGAAAAAGGTAGATGTTCATGGAGCCAGTGCTGGCTCTGGATTTTCGGTTCTCGTGGACACACACAGACATTTTCATTGAATCCTGAAATGAAGCAGAAAAAAAAAGAACAATAATAAATTAATCTGATCATTTGAAACCTATGAGATTCAAGAGGTTAATGTATATTTTTTAACAAAACTCTAAATGTCATTATCTACCATTTTAATAAACGTACTAATTGTTGTTATTATGAGGTGTTTGTTTTTTTAGGTAATATCATTTGTCGTCATGGTTAGTCATGATCAGTAGATTAATCAGCTGGTAAAATGGAACTAATTTGCCAAACAAATTTCATTCGGAGCAGTAACTGCTCCACGTGGAAACACTGGAATGCAGAATCAGAAAGGTAGAATCGTTCTGTGTAAAGAGAGAAAAAGATGAATAACGAGAATTTTCTCAAGACAGAATTACAAGGCTCACCAAGAGAAGCAAAACTAAGAAATAGATGGAGTGACTAAAAATGACAAAAATGTATCTAGACCAAAGGTTAACTGTTGTCTTACCCTGAGACTTTTACAGCTTTTCAATATCATCCATTTTCAGATTTACAAAACATGTCACTTCACACGCAGTCACCTCTTTAGAAAAACAGCAAAGAGAAAATATTGCTCTACTCACCATCTAAAATAAAATCCCACCTCCCATCTCCAGTGTCTCTAGTCTTTAAGCTCATAATTCCCTATTTTCTAGAAATCTCAAAACTCTCTTGCCTTATGTTTGATTTACTAAAGTACTGAATGTGAGTTCATTTTAAAACAATGGTTTGACTTTGCATTTCAAAGTTTCTTTTTAATTGCTTGTCACTGAAGGTGAAATGGCAATAATGTATTTACCCGTACTTATGTGTACGTTTATTAGCAAAATATTTCATGACAAAGTTACTATGGACAAAGTTTAATGGAACTCTCAAAAAGTATTAAATGGATGGACATCTACAACTAATTATTTTTGTAGACAGCCCCATTCAAGATGGTTGCCAAAAGCTAAGCAACCTCATCAAATGCAAAAATGTCTCTAGTTCAGTCACTTTTGCAGATACTGAGATAAAGTTTGGTATGGTAGTACCAGTAGTTGAGAATCATCGACAACACTTCTGAGTGCTACACATTTTTTATGCCTTTATTTTACCAAGAAATCCATTGCGATCATCAATCTCTTTTACAAGGATGTCCTGACATCTTTGCCTAAAACTTTTGTCATTAGTGTTAGTCATCTTTTGTGTCTGTTACCAAAATATCTCATGAACCACTGGTTATTATTTAGTGAAACTCTCATAAAGTTATTACTGGTTATCCATCTACAAATCGTTAACTTTTGGAGTCAACCTGGATCAAGATGACCACCACAGCTAATCGACCTTAGCTAACACAAAAAATGCCTACATCTACCGTATTTTCCGCCATACATGTCGCACCACCGTATAAGTTGCATCAATCCAAATATGTCTAGTAAAGTGGAAAAATTCATAAATTAATTTTTCCTTTAAAAATGCGCTTTGACAGAAAAATCAGCTGTATTTCAAAAGACTTTTACCTATTACATGACACAACAGCATGCCATACTGCTCGAGCGCCATCTAGCGGCTGAAAATGGTAGTGTTCAATATTTTCAGTCAGAATGAATGAAAACGGTCATATCTCAGACCAAAACTGGTTTATAAATATGGGGGGAAAACCGCGACTTATAGGTCGAAAATTACAGTACATTCAATTTAAAGATACTGAGTTAAAATTTGGTGTAGTAGTTTGAGATTTGTCCTCAAAACATAGGTTGAGTGGTAAAACATTTACAGATATTCTAAATATATCCTCATCATAAAATTATTTTAATTTAAAATACTTTGATGAAAATCAGCAAGTAATATGTATCACTTCAAGAAATTCATTCAACCTTTATTTCTACAGGTTAATCTCATTGAGCCTCGAGGACTCATTTCCAAGAGAGACCTGTTTACACAACATTTACGACATATTTCCCCCCATAATAAAATACATTTCAGGTAATAACAGGTAAAACACTTAAAGGAGGAGCAGATTAAAACCAACTCTGGACAGAATTCACGGCTTGATTCACGTGATGTTAGTGAAACAGCACAAAGAATAATTTCTTCTTTTTTTATATATATAATTTTGTTTTTTGACCATAGAGCTTAGAAGTACTGACTAGATTAGAATGTGTTGACTGTGCCTTGAAGTGTCTTGCAGGAAATGCTTGGGGCTTTAATGAAATTGTGAAAACATATTTTCATTTGTTCTGATGCATGCTCAATAATCCAGGTAGAAAAATCTAAAAAAGTTAAATCTGGTCCTCTGGACATTCAGAAAAACAAAACAAAGCTTGTTGATTTGCTTTGTTTTGTTTTTTTGAATGTCCAGAGGACCAGATTTAACTTTTTTAGATATTTTCATTTGCATGTTTGTAGCATGGGCAGCGCAGTGGCACAGTGGTAGAGCTGTTGCCTCTCAGCGAGAAGGTCGCCGAAGCAGTTCCTGGCCGGAGGCCTTTCTAGGTGGAGTTTGCATGTTCTCTCCATGCTGCGTGGATTTTCTCCAGGTATTCAAGTTTCCTCCCACAGGCCAAAAACATGAATGTTAGGCTGATTGGTGACTAAATTGCCTCTAGGTGAGAGAGTGAATGGTTGTTTGTCTCATTTGTCTCTATGTGTCTCTGTGATGGACTGGAGACCTGTCCAACCCGCCTCTCGCACAGTGACTTCTGGACTGGGCACCAGTGACCCCAGCAACACGAAAAGGAAGAAGTGGGTAAAGATAATGGATGGATGAAAGGATGTAGCATCCTGATTGACAGGAAACAGCTGCAGCAGCATGCGTTGAGTGGAACTTGACATTAATGTGAATTCCAAGAATTCCAGAGACTAAATGTAAAGAAGTTTTAAACAAATATCCATAAAACTTCTCAAAACACCAAATTAAATCTGACTGTGTGGATACCTGATGGATTGTTTATCCAAAAGTTCTTGTGCATCCTCAGTGACTCCGCTCTGAGCTACAGAGAGGAGAGGACAGTTTTCATTTTCTAGACGTTGCATCATCTGCTGAAAACTCCTCCAGAATGCAGAGAAAAGAAAATGGAGCCTGTAGGAACACAGGCGAGAAACAGGAGGATTTCTGATGAACTGTGTCACTTATACCTTTAACTATTTCAAGTGAATCACTTTGAACTTTTCCTTTGAAGTTCATGATACACAAAGAAAGTCATTCTACATTTTCATCTGTGAATATTATGTTTTAATCAAGTTTTCATAACCTCACACCTTCCAAGAGAATATTCAAATCGGCTCAAAGAAACAGCGTAATGGATCGTGGCTTTGAACTTAAATTTGCATATTAAAATTCACATGTAAAACACAGCACGCCTGTGCTCAAGTGCAACTTTCCATTGTCAGTAAAACAGTGTGCAGTGTTTTATCTCTGAATTCTCATTTGGACTGGTGACACAGTTAACTAAGCCAAAATAAATAGCTTATAAAACAACTAGCATCTTCTTTATGGGAGTTAAAATGGCCCATTTTAATTATGTATAGCCAAGTGTTCTCATTATCATCATAGGAGTCGTGTTGTTATTAGTCACAAGTTTATGAAACATAAAACCACTCGCAAACTTTGCTCAACAGGATTTATTACATTCCAGCGTAGACAAACAGGGCTATACGTCATCTGGCATCCGCTCTAATGAGAAGATCCTTTCATAGGTTCTCACCTGCACTTACACACACACACACACACACACACACACACACACACACACACACACA